TATTCAGAAGGAAGAGTGAGTTTTGTTTAATGTTTAGAAAGAAGAATATTGTTAAATATTAGAAGAAAGAGTGAGTTTTGTTTAATATTCAGAAGGAAGAGTGAGTATTGTTTAATGTTCAAAAATAAGAATGAGTATATATATATATATTGTTTAATGTTCAAAAAGAAGAGTTAGTATTGTTTAAGGTTCAAAAAGAAGAGTGAGTTTTATCTATGAGGTTTTGAGTCCGTTTTACTTCGCTATATTGTAACCTAAATTAGCTTAGATTACTATACTGTGAAGTAAAACGGAATCAAATCCCCATAAATGTTATATACACTTCACCATTATAATAGGCCTTATGGTATTTCTTAGTTTCCTGACCCAAGCTTTGCTGATGAGCCTTGAATAGCCGAAACTGAAGTCTACAGCAGAGGGCACGGCCAATAACAGAATGTGTTAGGCCTCTACGTCATAGATTATCTTTTCAATTTCATCTCTGGTGAAGAAGGAAAGAAATCTTTAACACACACATATATATATATATACAAGTGTTAGATTTGTTTAATGTTCAAAGTAAGAAGTAATATTGTTTAATGTTCAAAAAGACGAGTTAGCGTTGTAATGCTAGAAATAAACAACATTATAATACCAAATTGCTGTTTTTCTTTAATGTTAGAAAAGGAGTTAGTATTGTTTAATGTTGGATAGAAAGAGTTAGCATTGTTTAATGTTCGAAAGAAGAGTTCGTATTGTTTAATGTTCGAAAAGAAGAGTTAGTATTGTTCAATCAATGTCCGAAAAGAAGAGTTAGTATTGTTTAATTAATGTTCGAAAAGAAGAGTTAATATTGTTTAAGGTTCAAAAAGAAGAGTTAGTATTGTCTAGTGTTCGAAAAGAAGAGATAGTGTCGTTTAATTAATGTTCGAAAAGAAGAGTTAGTATTGTTTAGTGTTCGAAAAGAAGAGTTAGTGTTGTTTAATTAATGTTCGAAAAGAAGAGTTAGTGTTGTTTAATTAATGTTCGAAAAGAAGAGTTAAAACTGTTTATAGTCCAAAAAGAAGAGTTAGTATTGTTTAATGTTGGATAAAAAGAGTTAGTATTGTTTAGTGTTCGAAGAGAAGAACAATATTGTTTAATGTTTAAAGAAATGGCAACAGTACATTCTTAACATGTTAATTCGTGATATTAAAAGCTGTGTTTCCGTTTATAAACATCTCGGTAAACTTTTACATTCAACTGAACTAAGAACTAAGATTTTACAGCAGTATTGAAAGAAAATCTGAATTCACCTACAAATAAAGTTGGTGTTGTGCATTATGAATAATAAACAAGACTGAACAAACAACTTTTACCTATTGATAGTTCTTCGTGCTTACTTTACACGATTGTGACTATTCCTGGTTCTGAGGTAGCAACATTTATTGTCTTAAATATGATGAAAAAACAAATCTTTCTTTGTGAAGAGTTAAACCACGCTATAGTTTTGCTGATTTCATTTCTGAGGATTGGGAACTGAAGAGGCCGACATGTATTTAATCTTCTTACGGCTATTATACACGAAACCTAAGATTCCCAAACACACCAGAACAACCACAGCAACAAACACAGCTAGAACTGTTGCAGCCTGTTTATACTCCGAATTGATATTAGCAAGTTCCTCTGGAGACAAAGTAGATGGCGTTGGTCTTGAGGCTTCAATCTCCAAAAGTTCGGGGACTAGCACGTTCCAGAAACGCACAGCACTCTGGCGGTAGCCGTACTGGGTAGTGTACTGAGGGTACGTATTGCTAAAGTTGAAGAAAGCTAGGTTATCCACAGTAAACTTTTTCCACTCACCAGCTGGATACTGCTTCGTAATCTCCCTATACATGGATGTAATTAATGGGTATTATTACACAGAAATATGTATGTTAGTATAACACACGATAATTTTGAGTAAAAAGCCATTACTGTGCAGAGAAAAGCAAGTGAAAAACTTTTTTGAGGGGTGGGGGAAACCATCCAAGAAGATTTCAATTTGCAGCACGTATTTAAAACTTGGGGACCATATATATATATTTAAATCCAAGAACCCATGAGTGAAAGCAAAGCGTAATATGTTATATGTCAAACACATTATGTCTGCCATATCCAGTGCCGGCTAGACCTTTCGCCCAATACTAGGGCTCACCAGGCCGGTTGGGATGCAACAGACATAGTAGTGGTCTGTGCACTTTATGTGTATATATATATCATCAATTTTCATGATCAACGACTGTTTTAGTGTGACCCACATTAAGCAAGTAAATTGTAATTATCAACAGTTTTATTCAAGTCATACCTTTAAGAGATCTTAAGCTATAAAGAAATAACGAACACTATTTTTAAATAAACAAGCAAAAAAACTTTTAAAGATCTTATTTTTAGTGTTGTTATAAAAATCACGACCGAAAATTCTAGAATAGTTTTATTAGTATTAGGTCGTCAAGAAATTAACGTCGTGTTTTGGAACACTTTCATTAACCATCCCCCAAAAAGCATACATCACGTATAATAGTTAAACGAACCATCTTCGCGTCACGTTAGTGTAGCCTATATAATGTGTAAAGTTTAGTACACTCTAAACCTTATAGTGATGGCACACGACGAGAAACACGTTCGGCATGTAATGCTATATCAATACAAGAAGGAAAACAAGTTTATGGAAATGTTTTGAACGTTCTTAAGTGTCAATGATGGTTCAGCAAATTCCGTTCAGTTGATTTTAGCCTTAAAAACTGTGATTGCAGGGGCCGACATATTGGAAATGATATTGATGCTCTGAAGACGCTTGTTGAGAGTCTAACGCAAGGCAACACACTCGTGAAATGACCCTGAAATTGCACGTTTCTCATGAAACAATACGTAAAGATCACCGATTAATCACCGGTCATATTCTGATATAACGTCTAAAACACTACATTTTGTTAATCACCGGTCATATTCTGATATAACGTCTAAAACACTACATTTTGTTAATCACCGGTCATATTCTGATATAACGTCTAAAACACTACATGTTGTTAATCACCGGACATATTCTGATATAACGTCTAAAACACTACATGTTGTTAATCACCGGGCATATTCTGATATAACGACTAAAACACTACATGCTGTTAATCACCGGGCATATTCTGACATAACGTCTGAAACACTACATGTTGTTAATCACCGGGCATATTCTGATATAACGTCTAAAACACTACATGTTGTTAATCACCGGGCATATTCTGACATAACGTCTAAAACACTACATGTTGTTAATCACCAGCATATTCTGACATAACGTCTAAAACACTATACGTTGCGAGTTTCAAAAACATTGTGTTTCAGCGTATGATTATTAAATATGATCATTATTACATAACATTTTATCAGAAACTTACCCAGTTTCCATAAAGTTGTATATACAGTTGATTAATACTCGAAGAGTATTTTTATCAGAGTTGACAATTCTTGGATAGTTGGGAAAGCTGTTATCATATGATGTGTTAAATACGTAAAACATATCATCATAATGGGCTACACCTGTAGAGATAAAGGTAACACATTTCAATAAAATGAAACTAGGGAATAAAGTCGAAAATATGAATCTTTCCTCTTTTGTGTACACATTGGCTAGAATTACTTACTCGAGTAATATTTCAAAGACATTGTGATGAACAGCGTATGAAAATAAAGCAAATGTATAGCGCCATCTACATAATATTTTAACTTCTGTTTAACTCGGTAAAAGAAAATGTTCTGTTTGTAGTACGTGAGACACAACTTGATTTATTTTACGTTAGATGATATGAATACTTCACATAAACTAAAATACGGACTAGAAAGTATTCATCGCTTCTATTCAAAGGTCTTTAATTCATCCAACAGGCTGATTTTTATATAATCTAAGTGCACAACCAAGTGATGTTAAAAGCAGGAAAAGTGTAATAGAAAAATATAGAGGAACGCTCTATCATCACTACAGAACTCACTATAATCCTCTATCATCACTACAGAACTCACCATAATCCTCTATCATCACTACAGAACTCACCATAATCCTCTATTATCACTACCGAACTCACCACAATCCTCTATTATTACTACCGAACTCACTATGATCCTCTATTATCACTACCGAACTCACCATAATCCTCTATTATTACTACCGAACTCACCATAATCCTCTTTTATTATTATTATCTAACTCACCATAATCCTCTATTATTATTAGTTT